AATGTTAAATGTTTGCAACTAAGCAGGAAACACCGATAAACTCACATGGGCTTTAGGGGGTTATATTATGAACTCAAATGAAACTCAACAAAAGACTAACCAAAGTACAGATATTTTTTAAATCTGAGTCAACTTCTAGGGTGACCAGATGTCCCGATTTTATAGGGACAGTCCCGATTTTTGGATGTTTTTCTTATATAGTCTCCTATTACCCCCCACCCCCGTCCCGATTTTTCACATTTGTTGTCTGGTCACCCTAATCAGGGGTCGGCAACGTTTGGCACGCGGCTCGCCAGGGTAAGCACCCTAGCAGGCCAGGACAGTTTATTTACCTGCTGACGCGGCAGATTCGGCCGCTCGCGGTCCCCACCGGTGCTTACCCTGGCGAGCCGCGTGCCAAACGTTGCCGACCCCTGCCCTAACTAATGCTTTTGTGGCAAAACCATGTGAAATTTTATTTCTGCATGATCTGATGCAAAGGCAGAGTGAGTTTTATTAGGAAATACTGGGTTCATTAGAACCTGAAATTGAAGAATTTTTTCAAAGGATAACATGAACCCATAGGACAGTGGTTCTCAACCTCTTTACCATTGTGGGCTGCATATGCAGTTCTCTATGCGTTATGTGGCCCGCATCGTCACAATATATATACACTGTACCATCTTACTCCTGGGGGAATTCTGCGGGACTGCGTACCCGCAGAAAACACCGCCCCCAGCGAATTCCTGTGATTCCCTGCAGAAAATGGCAGGGAAGCAAAGGGAAGCCGCACGGCTGGGGGGAGAGGGAGGTGGACAGGACCCGGGTGCAGTTTTTTGGGGGTGATCCCCCCGACAGAGGCGAGGCATGGGGGGGGCATACTGGATTATGTATCACTCCCCCTCCCCTCATTTCTGCAAGTGCAGAGGTGCCCAGCTGAAGGAGACTGTGTGTCTCCACTCCACTGACTCTGCAGCTGAACGCCACCTCCTGGTCCGAGTGCCAGTCATGCTCCCCTTCTATGTGCTGGAAGCCTTCCTGATTTCTGTGCAACAGTGAGTGCCAGTGATGAGGCTGGGTAAGGGGGAGCAGGAAAATGAGGGAAGTGGGGATGAGGGAAAATGAGGGAAAGGGGGTTAGAGGGTGGGGGGAGAGGCAGTGGGGAAAGAAGGGGATGGAATAGGGAAGGGGGAGGGGAATGTGGGAGTGAGGGGAAAGGGATGGGGGGAGGGGGAGGAGGGGATGAGATGGGGAAGAAAGGGGGACTCACGAGGGGGAAGCGGAAGCCAGGCATGTGGCGTCCCCTCGGAAGCAGCTGGGGCTCCCCCATTAAACAGGCCCATCGATCCCTTATCCTGACAAGCCCTAACCCCCTACACCTGGACCTGCCCCCGATGAGTTCCCTCACCCAGACCCCCACCCTACTGAGCCCCAACCAGCTGCACCTGCACCCCTCCCCATCAAGCCCCACTCCCCCAGCACCCGGACCCCCCACTGAGCCCCTACACCCAGACCCCCCCTGCTGAGCCCCAACCACCTTCACCTGGTTCCCCTGCAGAGTCCAATTGCCCCTGAACCCGGAACCCCCCAAAGAGCCCCTGTGCATCCAGATCTCCCACTGAGCTGCCCACACCCAGACTGCCCCACACAGAAACCTCTCACCCCACCACCTGGATCCCCCTCCCACACACACACACTTGGCTCCTGCTGGGCTGAGCCTGCCCACCCACACCTGGTGCAGAGGGGTAGGGCCCAGGGGTGTTTCTGGGGCAGGCCCAGCCCTTGCACTGTGTCAGGGTCAGGTGCAGCCTCACTGCTGAGTCCCTGTACTAGGGGAGGTAGGGGCTTCAGGGTGATCTCCCACCTCAATGCAGCCAGTGGCCTGTGTACCCCACTGCCATGCTGGAGCCACATTCATTAACAAATACATCTCTACCCCGATATAACGCGACCCAATATGACACGAATTCGGATATAACGCAGTAAAGCAGCATTCAGGGGGGCAGGGCTGCGCGTTCCGGTGGATCAAAGCAAGTTCAATATAATGCGGCTTCACCTGTAACACAGTAAGATTTTTTGGCTCCTGAGGACAGCATTATATCGGGGTAGAGGCGTACAATTTGCAGAATTGTGCAGAATTTTAAAATATTGTGCACATAATTAATTTTTTGGTGCAGAATTCCCTCAGGAGTACTGTATGGCCCTGAGGATGTCACATAGGCCGTGGGTTGAACCACAGCCAAAGGGATTAGAAATGGAAAAGTGCTCAGCTCTCCTCAGAACCTCTGAGACTGTCTACCTAATCTCATTTTACTCTTGCCTAGTCGGTTAATCCAACAATGCAAAGCAGTAAAAGAGACCCAAATCTGAAAGTTATCTGGTTGATTACTAAAGTGGTCACATGCTAGTCTCCAGCCAATTTCTTCTAGACTGAGGAGGCTGGCCAGCTGATTCATGGAAATACAATGGCAAAAGTTTTATTTAAAAAATCCACAGAGTTGTAGGGGGAAATCATAGACATTGTTCTCCCCCTGCTTTCTGACCAACAGCCAGACTTCAGACTGATGTTATACTGGCCAAATTCCATCTTTCAGAGAATTCTAAAGCACCTATCATCTAAGTGGCAAAATGTTGGTAACTTCATTTCTCTCCTAAATGCTGTTGTATAGTTTGGTACACAATTATAACCATGTATTTCAGTGGGCAGGAAGTGATTGCTCCTATACACTGACTTAGTATTTCTGAAGCACTCTGGATGAAAAATACTATGTAAGCATGAGGTATTGTTGTTATTTTTGCCTTTGAAGTAAAATAGTTATGATGAAAAACTGCCATTGATATGAGTGAGTTTAGTGAAATCCTTGAGTGTAGTACATTGGATTATCAATATAATCATTTTTAAAGTTTTGATAAATGGGAGTTCAGGTGATATAAAATGGGAATACCACTCCCTCACCTCACAGGAACATTGTGTTATCTATGGTATGTGAATGGCCCTGCATCACTGCAGTATTAGACGGAGGGTCCTGTGGCACCTTTGAGACTAACAGAAGTACTGGGAGCATAAGCTTTCGTGGGTAAGAACCTCACTTCTTCAGATGCAAGGGACACTTGCATCTGAAGAA